GGGTTTAGGGTTTAGGGGTGACGAAGAGGAAAGCTTACCTTTGCGGCCTCAATAATCAGAGTAGGGATAGTAGGGTTCCTTTGGGGGCTCTTTTTTAGGGTTACTACAAAGGTCTAGGGTTTAGGGTTGTGTGATATGTGGCCTTAAGAATCAGAATAGGGTTTGGGGTGTTATATTTCACTACAAGTATAAGAAAGAACCCTCAGGAATACTATGAGTAGTTCTTCACGCCCCTATAGTTTAGTAGTGAGGAAGTATCATCCCAGTTGAGGGTCTTACGTTTTAGGATTTAGGGTTTAGCATTTAAAGAGGCCTGGATAGCTTTTAAGGTGTCTGGTTGCAGACTTGGGGCTTGTGATTGTTCGGTTTTAGGGCTCATTATAGGCCGGTGCCTTAATCAATAATTAGAATAGGGTTTGGGGTATCTTATACTATATGTACAATAAGGAGTCTTAAAAACCCAATTCTAACTATGAAGGCCCCTACATTAGGGCGTTCGGCGGGGAGGGGTCAAATCGCAGCCCGGCCCTTGCACCGCTAAAGACCCCAAACCCCAGCAACCCACCTCCTCGAGTCTCCATCCATCACCGTCTCAATCCAAATGAGGGTTTAGGGGTTTAAGGGGTTTAGGGGCTCAAGGTTTAGGGTTTAGGGTTTAGGGGTTTAAGGGGTTTAGGGGCTTAGGGGCTCAGGGTTTAGGGTTTAGGGTTTAGGGGTTAGGGGTTAGGGGGTGTAGGGTTTAGGGCTTGGGGTTTATGGCCATTCCGACAAAGCTTTGGGGGGGGGGGGGGCGTCGGGTGCTTGCGGGTTCAACTCCGTTCGTCCGCGGCCTCGACTTGCCGCCGCAATTTCAGCTTAATATAGGGGCTTTAATAATTACCGATACTATTTTGGGTGTTCTTTAGTATAATTATAGTATCATGGGGCCCAAAACCCTATTCTATTTATTAAGGCCGTTGCATTATGTGGGTTCTGTCGAAAACTTCAGTTGAGAGACAGGAAGTGAGTGTCATGCATTCTAGGAAGCATGTTTCTTGCTGCTATACCCGAAAACCCTATATTCAACGTATAAAGGCACCTACTATTGCCTATCTAGCCTATATAGTAATTATATGCTCTTGAAAGGCTGAGGACCCCCTAAACCCTTATAAGCCATAATCCTTAAACCCTATAACTTGCGTGTATATATATTTGGCATTTCCAGGCGTTCAGAGGTGTACGCAGCACTAATTATTTGCACACGTCCGCAGGCCATAAAAGACTGGCCCGTACGGACTAGCCCAGAAGTTGTCCGGGGCGCTAATGGACGCTACAGCCCCTTTCAGCACAGCTGTCCATAGCGTCTTGACCTTTTCCGGGACAAAACACAACGGGTCATCGAACGCGGCTTCGGCCGTCCATGCTCTACTGGGCTCTACTCCCGAAGCTTCCCAATCAGAGTCCAGTGTCAGGTGAGCACTTCCGGGGGTCCCGCATTGTTCCCGAAGTTCGTGTAGAAGCCGTCGCCAGTCGGGGGGGTCATCCCTGTCCATGTAGGTTGCCAAGGACAACTCCGCATCCTCTGCCACGTGGCTAGCCTCTACGTATGCAAGGTGCCATTGGGGTGCTTTGCTCAGCGTCTCCAAGAGGAGCTGCGGGTCAGTCACACCCCAGTCACCATGTGGATCATCTTGAAGAAGTAGTCGCAGGTCCTCCTCGATCTGTCTGACCACGTCCTTCTCCTCCTGGAGGTACAGGGGGAACTTTGCCATCGTGGTGATGAAGAAGTCCTGGATCTGTAGGCCATCGCTCCAAGGCTCTCTGTGGTGGAGGCCCTCACATAGGGCCTTGTAGGCCCATCGCTGCTCTTCGACCCAAATTTCCCCAACATCGGCAAGGGCCGGTTCTTGCAGCTGCTGAGAGGGGGCCAGGTTGAACTCCGCCACCGCCTTGTCTCGGAAGACCTTGCTCCCCTTGCCGGGGAGGACCGTTGGCACCGTTCTGCCTGTTGCACGCAGCCACGCCACACATCCATGTGAGTCGCGTAGGTGCGTCGCAAGGCGGTCGGAACTCCAAAATTGGCGGCAGCACGCAGCACACACCGAGCCCTGTACACACGCACGGTAGGCTGCTTTTCGGCCATGGCATTTGAACATGTGGGCTCCCAGGCCTCCTTTCGATTTGAATGATTTCTGGCACTGGCGGCACCCCCACGTCCGCACTTGTTGCGGTACCGCCTGCTTGGTTCGGAGGAGCTGCCTGTGCATGCCCCATAGTCCCACCTGGGATGCCTCCTGCCGGCAACTGGCGTCGTGCTTGGCCTGGAGTGCCACCTTCACTCTCTTCTTGAACTGGTCGCCCTTATCCCGCAGGTAGTTCCACCAGCTCGGCCATTCCGCCGCACATAAGCCGGGCATGTCCTTGTAGAGCTCCTTGATCATCTCCAGGTCCTTCGTCACCACTTGCATCCATTGACGCTCATGTTGTAGGACTGCCCATAAAGGCTCCGGGGCCGTCCTGACCATGGCGACAAGAGCCCCAAGACGGCTTTTGGCCGCCTGTAGCTCCAGCCTCCATTTGCCCGTGGCAATGTGCACGAAGGGGGCCGGGACATCAAACAGGCGGGGGCCCTTGTACCTCGTACCCATGAGACGTCTGAGGAGCCGAGTGTAACCACCACACAAGGATCTCCATGCTTGCCCCTGGGGAAGCCAGATGGCAAGGTTATGGAAAGTGGCCAGGATGACAGTGTCGTACAGCTGCGCCCGGATGTGCATGGGGATGGTGCCGTTGACAAACAGGAGCTTGCTTCCAGCCTCAAAGGATGATGACGCCATAGCCAGGCGTCGCCTCATTTCCGGCTTCATCTCCATCCTGTGGTCGACAACTCCCCCTAAGTGGACATACTGGGGGGCCACGGGTATGTCGACCCCCAAGTCTGCCAGGCGAAGAGTTCGGCTCCCGCTTCCGAAGTGGCTCCTTCTGGCCTTCTGTACGCCCTTGCCCGTTAAAGAAAGGACCATGGTCGTTTTGCCACGTTTGAGGTTTGGCTGTAGTCCATACTCCTCACAAATGGAGATTGTCAAGGAAGCCAACCTCTTGCCCTTCTTAATGCAGCGGTCGGGCGTGTCATCATCGAGCAGGACTGTGGTATCGTCAGCCCACGTCACATCGCGGACCGACGTCTCGGATCCACCATCCGTCGCGGCAAACGGGCCTTCCGCAAGGTCAGCATAAGCTGTGCTCAGCAAGTCCTCGCCTCGGGCCGCTTCCCATATCCGATTCAGGACCCTGGCGTAGATGTAGGAAAAGACAGCGTCTGCCAGGGATTCTCCCGGGCGGCTCCCAGCCTTGGTCACGGCAAGGCGTGTGCCGTCGGTGTACCGAGAGACACACCACGTCCTGTGGTGTACATCCTTCAACATTGCATGCAGGGCGCTGGACATACCAGTTTCATTGACGATGCCACCCGCGTTGATGGTCTCCCATAGCCCTGCCATGTCCTCTGGCTCCATGTTGAACCGCTTCATCAGCCAGGCGATGGTCTGGTCGTAGCAGATGTCGCCCACCACCGCCTCCCTTAGGACTCTGTAGTAGGCCGCCGTGGTGTCGAGGAAAATCGCCCCAACGGAGCGATGACGGCTTCTGCAGGCTCTGAACCTCCCGAACACATAGAGGGAGGCAAAGATCAGGGGGGATCTGGCCTTGCTCCCCAAATGCAGATCGTGTAGCTCAGCTTGAAGGTGTTGCTGAGTTTTGTTTCTCAGGAGTCTATGATAGCTCTTGCCCACCACGCTGGAGATGAACAGGGATCGGTGGCTGTTGGTGGAGGTAATGTCACCTGATCTTTTCCACGCAGTGAAAATCACCCCTCCGCGCCATTGAAGTGGCTGGGTGAGGCCGACAGCCGCCCTGAGCATCGTGGGGAAAAGGGCCATAGCTGCCGCTGACGGGCAAGCCCTCAGGGCTTCGCCCGGTATGCCGTCTAGGCCCACTGCCTTGTTCTTTGGTGCCGTCCTGAGGATAGCTTCCAGCTCGTTCACAGTAGGGAGATCCTCCAGGCTCCATTCCACTCCTACACTGAGATGGCACGCAACATCCCGTTGATGCAGGAAGGCTTTGACAGCCATCGTAGAGCCATACTCCTGTTCCCCAAAGTGCTTCAGCCAAGTTTTGTCGTAGTCCTCTTGGCTGGCCGCTACAGCACCATCTTCATCAATGAGCATAGGCAGTGGTCGGTGGCCTCCTTTGTGCTGTCGACCACCCACTCCATGTTTCTTCACTCGCTGCAGGATGCTTGTAGCACTCTGCGGCCCTTCCTTCACAATCTCCTGGAGATATTGGGCCTTGCCCTTGTAGATGGCCGCCTTGATCTG